ACATAAAACCTTATTGCTCTCTACAGCTACCAAGGAGGTTGTGGGGAGCTGGGGGTTGTCCTCTTCACAGATAACTAGTGATAGGACTAGAGGGAATGGAGTGAAGTTGTGCCAGGAGAGGTTTAGGTTGGAAATTAGGAGACATTTCTTCTCAGAAAGAGCAGTCAGGCATTGGAACGGGTTGCCCAGGGAGGTGGTGGAGTCACCGTCCCTGGGGGTGTTTAAGGACAGGTTGGATGTGGTGCTTAGGGACATGTTTTACTGGTGACATTGGTGGTAGGTGGATGGTTGGACCAGATGATCTTGGAGGTCTTTTCCAACCTTAATGATTCTGTTATTGGAGATCATCCAAAGGAAGGCTAAAAACATGGTGAAGGGTTGAGAGGGGAATCACAGAATCACAGAATTGTCTAGGTTGGAGGAGACCTCAAGATCATCGAGCCCAACCTCTGACCTAACACTAACAAGTCCTTCACTAAACCATATTGCTACGTTCAACATCTAAACGTCTTTTAAAGACCTCCAGGGATGGTGACTCCACCACTTCCCTGGGCAGCCCATTCCAATGCCTCTAAATCCTTTCAGTAAAGAAGTTCTTCCTAATATCCAACTTAAAACACCCCTGGCACAACTTTATTCCATTCCCCCTTATCCTGTCACCAGGCACGTGGGAGAATAGACCAACCCCCACCTCGCTACAGCCTCCTTTAATGTACTTATAGAGAGCGATAAGGTCGCCTCTGAGCCTGCTCTTCTCCAGGCTGAACAAGCCCAGCTCCCTCAGCCGCTCCTCGTAAGACTTGTTCTCCAGACCCCTCACCAGTTTCATCACTCTTCTCTGGATGACCTATGAGGAGCAGCTGAGGTCCTTTGGTTTGTTCAGCCCAGAGAAGAGCAGGCTGAAGGGAGGCCTCATGGCGGCCTGCAGCTCCCTCACGTGGGGTGCAGAGGGGCAGGCGCTGAGCTCTGCTCTCTGGGGACAGCGACAGGACCCGAGGGAATGGCATGGAGCTGGGACAGGGAAGGGTCTGGCTGGGTGTCAGGAAAAGGTTCTTCACTCAGGGGGTGGTCAGGCACTGGGACAGGCTCCCCAGGGCAGTGGTCATGGTACTGAGCCTGCTGCAGTTCAAGAAGAATTTGGACAATGCTCTCAAACATAAGGGTCTGATTTTTGGGTGGTCCTGTGTGGAGCAAGGAGTTGAACTTGATGATCCTAATGGGTCTTTCCAACTCAGGATATTTTACAATTCTAGCATTCTGTGATCTTTCATTCAAAAAAAAAAAAAAAAAAAAAAAAAAAAATCTTTGCCTTCAAAATCATATTTTTAAAGTAGTTCCAAGTAACTTAATGACAGTGAAAGCTGTATGATGTGTTACAATTTTCTGTCACTTCTAAATTTGAAAAAAAATTGTCTTAGAACTGTGAACAATTTTGCTTTCCAGAGTGATCATCTCTTCATCACCTCCTACATCCCACGTGCCAACATCACCCACTTCATTTGGACTTCATTTCCTCAGCCCATTAGTTTGTACCACAAGGCTCACCGCTTTTAGCAATATAGTTTGAAAACATCTAAAAGATGACTTATTAACTTTTTAAAATTTTAAATAATCCAACGCAGCTGTCACAGAAAATACACAAACTTGCCAGACATGTTGATTCTCTTCCTCCAATTGCTCTATTGTTCCATTTTTATTCTGTCTTACTAACACCCATTTCTAAACCTTATTAGCCAATGTGAATGATCAAAAGAGGCTGAAACTTGTACTATATTACAGCTTTGCAAAACTGAGTTAATAAAATTCAGTAAAGCTTCTAAAAAGAGCAAAGAAAGTTCAGCACAGTTTCCCAATGATCATCACTAGGCATAATGTTCCAATTTATGTCTGAAAAGCTCCCTTGTATGGAGAAAACTTAGGGCTTTTGGTACTTTTTCTGGAGGTCTGTGAGTCTGATTTTTCTTTATTTTTATTTTTTTTTCTCCTAGTAGTGGTGGGATTTCCCCAATTCTACTGTATTTTAGGTCAGTTGATAGTTCTCACTGCAACCTCTAAAATTAGGACTGAACAATGATCCCAACAAAGCATTGTATTGACTATGTAAATTATCTGTATATCACAAAAGAAGGCGAAATAATGATGTAATGGCCAATTATAGACTACCTAGCATCTTAGAGTAATTTTATATCTCCTATTAGCTGTAGCCTTTTGCTTTTTTATTTCTCTTGCTTAATTTAAATTGGAATGTTACCATACATTTAAATATCTAATCCTAAAACATTAATTAATTCTAATTTGTGCAAATGAATTCTACAGTTTTAGTTATGCTTTTTAAAAACTTTCCATTAGTTTCCAATTTATTTTTCATTGCTCACTGAATAGGTCCTGAACCATGTACTGTAAAAACAAGCAATCTGTCTTGCATTGTTTCCCTCAGATGTTTCATCTTCTTAACCTTTTTAACTTTCATTTTCCATTAGAAAACATCCAGTAATTATCACCTGCCTCCTCCAATGCCCCTTTTAGAAGAAAGGGACCAGACCTGTAATATTACTTTTTTGTGTGTGTGATTTCTTGTTGCTATTCCTTTGCCCCTTTGTTTTCTTTGATTACTGGTGCAAACTGATCAGCAGTTTCACCAACAGCTCAGAGTGATACCTGAGACTCCTTTCTATATGTTTTATATAAATTCACTAGATACTGGAAGAATATATTTGGCTTAGCCCAGACTGTGAACATGTGAATAAATCTTAGTGCTTGAGAGATTTGGATACAAATCCATTCTGCAGTTGCATAAAGAGAGTTTAAATGTTTTCCTTTGATACCTTAAAAGGAAACTCACTACATACTATTAAGGATAACTTTTCTATTAATAAATTAATCTTGAAGCATATTTGACAAAAGAAAATTGGTTCTCTTACTACATGTTAGAAATTAATTATTTGAGCATCAAACTCTTTGAACTCATCTTTGCAAGTGTCAGCCTCTAAGGAAAGTTGTATTTATAATTTTTATAATCTTTGTCATGCTTGTTTTTTCTAAGAAAATATTTCTTTCTTGTTTTCAAATATGAACTGTAAAAATATTTATATAATTGAGTGGAAAAAATCAGAAACAAAAGGTGGAACAAATTTAAAGAGGTGAGCATTGCATCTAGCTTGGCTGATTCTTTAACTGAGAAAACCAGGAGAATATAAAACAAAAATCAATGCCTCTGTATGGCAGGTTACAGAACAGCAGACAAATTCTCTCTTACTCTTACAAGGTCATTTTCTTATAATGTACTGTGTTTCAGGAGGCCTGATGGTTTTATATATATATATATATATATATATATATATGTTTTATATATATTTATATTTACATATATGCATATATATAAACTTTTGAAAATTACCTTAAGACAACCACAAACTCCAGCAACCTCATGCTTTCCACTGTTCCTTACTATACTAACTAGATTACTCAAGCTCCCACTTAAAAGAAAAAACACACATGAAAAACAATAACAACACTACACAAACTCAGAAAAACATCAGATTGATGTTTTTACAGTGTTTGAATAATTATGGTATTTTTTCCTAGATTGAAAAAACAAGCCATCAGTTTACCATCTAAAGAAAACAAAAATCTGTAAGGTTTCCTAAGCTTATCTTTTTTGTATGTCATGGCTTACTTTGGTGCATTTGTACAGATGAAGCCACTCGAGGAGACTTCTGTGGACTTCATTAATCACTGGATAAAAGCCTCTTGGAAGCTTTTCTTGTATGCTTTAAAAAAAAACAGTTTAAAAAATCCATGGTTTTTAAAAAAATCCATGGTTTAAAAGCATTTCAAAGTGAAGCTGTTTCTACTGTTTTAGTAGAAACATCTCAACAAGGAGCTTGATCATTGACTCCCTGTATTTCTCTTAGGCTACAGCAAATGTGAGGTTAATGCAGTTTAGCTTATAAGGAAGAGAGTTGTAGTGACTCAGGTTATGCATGATTGCTTAGTGAACTGTGATAACTCGATTACAAGCACAAGCACCAAGCCTTTGCCATGAAAATCACCTCTTCAAAGGGTTCACTCTGAAATATCACTCATAGAGAGCACAGAACTTGACTTGTTAACAACTGGAATATTTTCATTTGCAAACCTGCATCACCATTTAGGTCTATATATTTAAGGTTTTTACATTGCTCTGGAGTCAGACTGAAAGAAAAACGTGGCAGGCATCTCCTAAACATGCTTTACTCTGTTTTGTTCTGGCTGCAAGAGGTGATGGGAACTGTAATACAACTATTATTACATATTACTATTATATGGTGATCTCTGTAAGGCAAAGCACATAAAAACAGTCAAAAGAAATAAAATTTCAAAGTTTTTTTTTTTTTTTTTTTTTTTTTACTTTGGATTTGAAAATTGTCCCATATGGCTGAGATACTCACATCTTCCTCCACTAGAAAGCAGATCCTTGTGGAGTGCAAATTGGCTTCAGAATCTGAAGTATGAAATTCAATTTTTATACATATTTCAGATCTTGAGTTTTGCATATCTTTGTAGCAGAAATTCACATTTGACTGAATTTCACATCAGAAAGTAGAGCTTTAGCAACTCAAAGTCACCCATAGCAAATGGCAACTTTCTGTAAAAAAAGCCCACTGGATCCAAAAATTCTTATACACAGTTATTACTACCCCTAGCCAGTTTTAATCATTTAATTCTCACTCATGACTTAATTTTTATTTCCACAGACTATTACAAATATATGAAAAAATGAATCATGGAATCTAATTTGAGAAGCAAAATATAAATAATACTCTACCAAACATACAGTTTCAGGGCTGTTTTTCTTCCCCATAACTCCCAACTAGCCAATGGAAGAGTCCAAAATGAGTTGGGTCATCCAAATGAATGTACAGCCTTGTATTGGGACATATGGAAAGCCCAGGGAGCTGTACAGTGAAACATGGACAGCTATAGGGATTCAGGTTTACCCAGAAGAAAACCTCCATCACTTGTTTAATTCCAAAGGTTTATTTTGCAGTCGTTGTGTGTGAACACAATTGATCAAACACACACAAGTCAGTCACGGTACTCATACAAAGAAACACCATCTAGCAGTATCTCATTCAAAAGTGAACATGACACCACACAGCACTCACTGACAAATACATGGGCTGCAGACTATTTGACACATTCAACAAGAAAACCCAACAATATGTTAATGATATTGTCCATTTTGCCCTCTCATTGCTGGAGAAGCCATAGCAGCATAACAATGGAGGGAAAAAAAGAAAAGAAAAAAAAATGAAAAAAAAAATTACTGAACAATTTCAAGAGCAATACAAAACTCTCATTAGGGTCACAGATGAGAAGCTATGCAGTACCTGCACATCTGCAGCTTCCTCAGAAACTTCCCCAACCCAAGGCAAAGGAGACTGAAGCTACCTTCCCTAAGCAGTGAACAAAGCATCTGCACAAAGACACATTTGGAGACTGGAATTGTTTTTAACCTGAACTATGGGCTGGAGCAAATGGCAGAAGAGATGTGCAGCCACAGTCCATGGCGCTCTCGGTCTGCAGCTGCACAGAAAGTGCGTATCTGGAGTGTGCCTGTCTCTGGTATGGCAAGAGATGCGCAAATGGGGCACAGCCCCCTGCTGTTAATACTGTACAAGCCCCTGAGCAGCAATAGGAAATTCTACAGAACCATCCCTTTACCAACACATTTAGAGCTGGGCTCCAAACGCAACTGGAAGCAATTGTAAGATAATTTTATCTTCTGGAAGTCCAATTGAAATACTGTATGATATTTTATCAAAGTTACTTGGTATCAACATTATCAACAAGTAATGCCTGTAATGTACATCAATGAACATCACTAATGCTAAATTTTCCTAATTATAATAATGGATTCCAATCCTGCCACCTTGACTCAATCAGATCACAAGATATTATGTTGGTAGCCCTAGTTGCAAAGTAATTTTCATGAGAGAATCTGAATGAATGAGAGTCTGAATGAGAGAGTCTGAACTTGCCAGTCTTGCCCTACAGGCAGAAGAGGAAGAATTTATTCTTGAAATGGTCTGGAGGGGGTGGTATTCAAGCTCTTTTTTTACACAACCACCCGCTTAACAAGCTCATGTAACACATGGACTAAGCAACTAAAGCCACTGAAAGATGACATGTCCATTTGCTACATATACAATTTTGGAAGTGGTTATTGAAGACAATTTTCTTCAGTCTTCTTCCATAGTATTTGATTAGTTTCTATATCTGATTATCAGTTGGTATCGTCCTGATTTACTGTTTCTTAAGAATAGCACCAGTATCATAAATCTGAATCTTCATTCTTAATTCTTTTCCTTGTATCTTTCATTTCATCTTACTTGTTTATGTACTTCTGTCACAGTAAAATAGCAGAAATCCACGCATAAAGTCTCAGACCAATTTTTCTTCTATTACCTGGTAGTGAAATTGCCCTATCATGTAATCTGTGTTGTCAGCTTACAATGTGCGTAGTAAATAAGCCATAAATAAATAAATCACAGTATAACCTATACAACATTTAGTAGTGATAGCTGAACATCAGGACCTCTGATTTTAATTTACAGTATAAAACAAAACATTAAGCAGCTTGTCAGTTGGGGAAATCTGAGCAAAACAAGTACTGGAAAATAGTGTTCCATATTTATATATGTGAATATATGTATAGTCATATATACATTTATATTTTGAATATATATGAGTATATATATGAATATATATATATTTAAAAATCACAAATTTCTGCATTACTAAATATTACTTCTGGAAGCAGCTGATTCCACCTAAATGCAGCACTTGCTTCTTTGCCTTACTCCTTACTGACAGCAGCTGTAAGACTTACTGACTTTTCATACAAAACAAGTTATCTATTGAATTTAAAAGTGCTTATTACCCCCCTCAGCATCCAGGTACCTAGAAGAGTCAAGAAAAACCATTACCATAATTGCAAACTGGAAAGATGATATTCATTAAAAATATCACAAATGTAAGGGAACGGATCACCTAACACCAGGCAGCCCACTGAGTCTTGCTATCATGAAATTAAGCAGACCTTGGGGACAGTTTTACAATGCATTAAATAGCTTAGAAACTTATAAACATGAACAAGGTCCAAAGCTTCAGAATCTAATGCCCAAATGAAAATTAATGTTCAAATAAGAAATAGGTATCCAAGTTCCTTTGGAAATCTGATTGTTAAGAAACTACATTTATGGGGCCTCAGGGAAATTTTGGCTCCTAGGGGTTGTTTTAAAAGGAGCTCAAAAAGAAAAGCCAAACTTAAAAAAAAAAAAAATAAATAGAAAAGAAACAAACAAAAACCCTTGGGAAACATGGTGTTTGATTTTTTTTACTGATACACCCTATACATCAGTGTTCTTTCACTTGACCATGAGGTTTAGCTTTTCTTTCATATTAAAGATTCTACAGCTATTCTTTTATATATATAAATAATTTCCACAGAAATGCAGTGCCAGCAAATTCCGAAACTACAGGCAATTCTATTACTAGTTGATCAGGATTTGTGAGAGAGATGAGGAAACTGATCAGTACCTGCAGCTCTCCATTTATGTGAAGCTGGGAGGCTTTTGGATGAAGCAATGGAAAGCCAAAATAGCTGGAGATGGACTTAGAGGTCAGGGTCAGGGGAGTGTCACCAGTCTTCTTTGAAGCACTCAATCTCACGTGCAACTTTAATGACACATTGGAAAACGTGGAGAAATGCAAGCTGGTCCCATTTCAGGTTTGCTTGCATTGATTCCCAGCAGCCTGATCCCAGCAGGAATCTTTTCCCTTTCATCTCCTGCCAAGTGCACACACACCCCACCATTACCACACAGCTGTGCTCTGCCAAATTCTGCTCCCCAAGGCCAATTTTCTTCTTCAAGTCTATATTGCCCACCCCTGTTGCCATACCACCTATTTTGCAGGTGCCCAAGAAAACTTTGGCTTTTAGTTATTTAAACAGCTGCTGCTCCTTCTGCCTCCCACTTCCTCTACACTCACCCTAGCTGTTAATGAATTCACCAGTATTCACTTAAAAACGTATTCAAGGAGGAAGCAGTTCATGCTGTCACATTAAAAATACAAGTTGTGCACCACTATAAACATACTGAATGAAAAGAACATGTTTTCCCCCAGTCCCCCCGAAAGAACATCCTTGTTTTTAAACGATTCCTTTTTTGGTTTCCCCATTGTCCACCGAAGAAGTGAAGTTTGAATCTTGCTCTTCACTTGATTTCCTCTCTCCTGAGTAGTGGTTCATTTCTTGCATTTCTAAAGAGACCTTATTCCTTTTTGCAAATGCTTGGCTGATCTCATTGAGTGTCTTGTTTTTTGTTTCAGGCAGGACAAAAAACAGGTAGGTGGCTCCTGCGAAGCAGATGGCAGCAAACACTAGGAAGCAGTAGGTCTGTAAACCACTCTGTGAACAGAAAACAAAGGAGATAACGGTCATTGCATATGCTAAGGGGACAAAACTCGGAAGAAAATCAACATCAGGAATGACTTGAAAGAAAAAGCGGGTGGCATGGCACAATTTTTAAGCAAGTACAGTAAGTGCTGGCATTCATTGCAAGTCACAGTGCCTTAGAAGTTCATAAAAATGCATGAATCTTCAGTTCTTCCAACACTACCAGTGGCCCATAGACAGAGAAGCAGGCTCCTGGCAGATGGGTGCAGATCTGCAATCTGGGCAGCACTGGGAGACACCAGACTGGGTCCAGGCATGAAGGGAGCAGGTGGAAGCAGGCTGCTTCTTTCTGCCTGCACAGCCTAACCGAGCCTTGCATGCATGTGGTATTGCTGGAGATGAGGCAGGTTTTTCACCAGGTTGTTCTGAATAATGCCTCTCCATTTCTAGGTACAAAAAAGGAGGCATGCTTTTGCAATATCTTGTACGTGACACATGAGAAACCTGTCATAGCCAGGAGCATCTGTATCACAGTTGTTACAAGCTTTGAGATTTGCAAAATAAATGAGGGGAAAAAACAAATGGCAGACATTGGTGTACTTTTGAAGGTGACAGGAACTTATAGCAGGAAAAAAACAACCAACCAACCAACCAAACAAACAAAAAAAACCACCACATGTATTTATTTCCTGCTAGAGACAAGTGTAAGAATTTCCTACCCCAACTTTTGAGGAAAGTCAAAGTGTCCAGGATACCCATAAGATTTTTTGACCTTCCACCTTCCTCTATTGATTTACCTCACTATGTGTTCTTAAAACCAGTAAACATTTTTGACTTGCTTTTATTAACTAGACTAAAGTTAGTGAAAAGTAGCACCTCTATCTCCACAAATAAGAAAATCTTTCTGTGGTGCCATGTGTGAGGTCATGAATACAAGGAGAAATGGATGTCTCAGATGTAAAATGATGTTTTCCAAGGCAGGGACTACCCTAGGAATATCACCCATGAAGGAGGAAGCAGAAGATTGCTGAGGAGTGCCAGGGTACTGGAAACAAGAATAAGTGAACTACTTCTCCAGCCACTTCCACAGAGAGCTGTCCCTTGCCACAAGCACCAGCTGCTGCCCCACCTTGTTCCTCCATCCTCCATGTGGAGCTGAAGCAAACCCAAAATCACCATGAGAAACCACAGCTCCTATTCAACATTTTTTAAAGCTTCCTTTGGCTGTGAGTTCCTTGGAGACACAGCTTCCTATACATACATATTTACAGTATAAAGACATATTTACATATGCCTTTAAATGCGTGCATCTGAAACAATCCAGACAGGGCTAGAAAATGACATAACACCAATTTTTCACGTTTTTTCTAATATACTCCAATCACTGTCAGTTATCTCATCTCTGTAGTGTAGGCTGGGTAAGGTCCCTGCTTGGGGGCTAAGGGTTTATAAAATTCTTAGGACTACTTTTATGTGTCACTTGCTCAATATATGCAAATGAAACATAGAAATATATACATCATATATGTCTGGCATAGAAAAAGAAAGTGAAAGAAAACAACAACAACAAAAATTTCTGCCATGGCTTTTTTATACTATGGCTGATAGCCAGCCTGCCTGGCTACAAAGTTTTCCATGGATAATTCATCACCTAGTTCAGCCCTGCAATTCCTGTCTGTAATAGGAAAAGCTGGAAAGTGCATCTTCTGAAATACTGCCTATGGACTCTTGAAATTAACAGTACTTTTTTTTTTTTTTTTTTTTTTTTTTTTTTTTTGTTAAATCCTAGAAGCATGAATTCCTGAACAACCTGACAATCACAAAACAATGAGCATGGGTGATGAGGGGGAAAAATATTCTGGGAAGGGAACTGATATGACTTTCAAGTTTATACAGAGGCAGAATCAAATGGATTTAGTAGACAGTGCCTCATAAAAAAAACAAAACTTCACAGTGCCTCATAAATCATTTTGTCATGTTAAGAATACAAATTTTTCATTGGGGTTTTCTGCATGTGAAATTGTTCAATGGAATGATAGGGCTCCAATATGTAATCACATTTTCCTTTTCTAAAATCTTTATTGAACAAAACTTTCTCCTTGATGAAAATGAACCATTAATGCCTTGTTTGACTAAGCTTTGACACCTGTGTATCTTGGTGGTACAGCCACAAGCTTTTTCCCTCCTTTCTCACTCATGATTATTTCTTTGCAGTCCATTATCTGAATTAGCGTTTATCTTCTTTGATCTGTTTCCTTAAACCTTTCATAACTGAACTGAGTTTAGAGTTTATTTTCATTTTTTTACAACATGGATCGGTAATTTACATTTACATCGTGTATTTACATTTATTGGTAATAAACTTGATGTCATTAATTTCTGCAGATCCCTTTAGACATAGCCCTCCAAGGGCCTCCAGATGAAGTTCCACAGAGAATAAGCTAAAAATTATATTTTCTTATAAATTCTACAAATGAGCTCTGCGGTAAGAGACCAAGACTTTGTAGTCCTTGTATTCAGCAGGATTCGCACAATGGAGCCCTAATTCCTGGACTGCAGAGCAATCACAAAATGCCTTTTTCTCACCAGCTAGTCTTCAGTCATAATATTTCTTTAAAGCTGGTTATCATTTTACACACCCGGAAAAGAGAAACACTTATATTCATAAGCCTTTTGTAACTCAGAATTCAGCTAATATCACCTGAACCTGTATTCAGCACAGAAGAATGTGAATTAAATTACTCATTATAAGCATGAAATCTTACATCTATACTGCACACTGATAAAGGATGTAGAACAGAAGTACAAGATAAAGCAGAAGGAAAATGTCAAATCCTGCATCCTAACTCAAAAGAAACCCTTAATGGGGCATGGGTGGGATGCAGCTCAGACTAGATTTTTAATTCACTTTTATCTGTTTCTGACATATTCTGAATTGATTGGTGCCAGAGTGGGGAGATCAATAAATGGATTGGCCACAGGATATCTGATGTGTCCATCAAATGATGCTGAAGATAGCATAATGAGCTGGGAAAAGGGTGAGTTACCGAATGATGGGTACTACAAAAAAGGTACAGATAGATAGATCTGACTGGAAAATGGATCTATGTCTTTGTTCCATGAAAATTCTGAACTTTCTCTTAATTGCATTATGTAAAGTATGTACTATTCATATTACTCCAATGAAACCTGTATCCATCGTTCCTTCAGTGTGCCATCCTACATGAACAACTGAAGTTTAAAGCTGCCAAATATTTTAGGTGGTTTCCTGAATAACCAGGGCTCCACCTCGTGATAGGCTTGCAGATATTCATTCAGAGTCAATATCAGCTACACACAGGAATGTCCTTAAAGGACCAGGCTGTCCACAGGTTCCCGAAGGTCACCTGCCCTCCCAGGTTCCTGGCGTAGAGTTTGAGGAGAGTGAACATGCTTATTGCTGCGGTCTCTCCAGGAAAGCACCTGTTACATACAGCCTGTTTCTGGTTAGTCAGCAGGCTACTAAATCCTCTACAAGGCAGGATTACACTGCATTTTTAAAGTACAGTAAGGGTAACTGACATGCAGGATATTTGAAAGTTAACTATAAACTTTTAAAGTCATCACCTTCTATTTTTGTATTAGTTTTCTAAGGAAGGTGTTTAAAATATAATGTTTCTATAAATGTGCTGCCTTGAATTACTCATTTTTATCCTCCCTGAATTTCCACAGCTGGTCAAGGCTCTGAATTTGCCGAAAAGTGGGAAAGCAGGAAACAATTCACTTAATGCATGCATTTGATTACCACAAAAAGGAATCAAAGTCAAAGCACTTAGGTAATTCTTCCAAATCAGATAATGAAAATGGGAAAATAGATATTCTAGGCTGCCCTAGAGTCTTACACTAGGACTTGGTGTTGTTACCTTTGTTTTCTTATTTCCTTTTGTATTTCACAATAAGGAAGTCAATGATATAATCATTTTGGATTTCTTCTCTAAAAGTTCCATGGGAAGAGAAAAACAAACAAACAAACAAACAAACAAAAAAAACCCCAGGAGATTCCTGCAATACAGCTTTAAGCAGATGACAGATGAATCCCTTTACCTCCTCCGCCTCTAAATTTTCCACTTGCAGTGTCACAGCCCCTTTGGCACTGGCAATGGATGCCTGCATTTGGAGGTTACCATGAAGTTTAGAATCACTAGATAAGGGTCAAATTGGATTTTTGAAGTGATGATGTCAAATAATGAGGGTTAGATGTCTTACTAAAAAGATCAGCAGCAGAACAGTTATTCATGTAGACATTTGACTTTATTTGCTTTGCTTCAAATTTGTGTAACCCACTGAAACAAATGGATGAGAGAATACATGTCCTTTACCCTTTGCCCTTCTTCAGATCCAGACATAATTTAAGGTTCTACTGAAGGTGCAGGACAATGAAAAAGGACAAAGCACTAAAATATAGTATACTAAATGTATTTCTTATGTAAAAAATAGAGCAATTTTCAAAGGCATGAACTACAACTTCAACCCCAACCGTCACATTTTTATTACCTCCTCAAAAAGTTAACATCTTAACATCTCTATATTTTACATTTGAAGTGGATTGCTTCTAATTATGAGCTTTTTTTTTTTTTTTCTTTTTTAAATTTAACATTCTGATAGCCTACATTTCATTTCATTTCATTTCATTTCATCTTTTTCATCTTTGAGGGAACTTTAGCCACTTCCCTAAGTACAGATACACTTTAAATATCAGTTACTTTAAATATCAGATGTATATACAAAAACTTAAATTAGCTTGATTGAGGGAATCCACATATAAACTTCTGTGCATACCTTTGCTATTGAAATTTTTGCATAATAGAAAAAGTCATCAAGTAGTATTATGCATTAATGAAATAATGAAAACCCAAACAAAATCGTGCTGGGTAAATGAATTTCAATGTACAAGAGGAAAAATCTCAAGTGTAAAAATAAGGAAGAAAAAGAGCAAATGTGCAAGAGAGCCTCCGGTAAAATGTATAGCAACT